CGAGGGGGGTGGGGCGGAAGTGGGGATGCGGCGACGACGAACTTCGACCCACGGCGAGGGCGGCGACCTGCGTGGTGGGCGGGGCAGGTGGCCGAGGATTTGACGGCAACCCAAGGTGCAGGGGGTGCGCATGGCCGTCGATTTGATGGGGCAATAGGATTTTTTTTCTCCTACTCGCTCGGAACGATGGGTGGGGGAACGAAGCGGGGAAGCCGATCTGGCAGACGAGATGCCTTGCATCATACGGCGCGGATGCGACCGACCCAAATTTGGGCAGGCGCGCCGGCGCAGATCTGAATAAAAGAATGGTGTGCGGCTTGTCAGTTGGCTCGACCCAACCGCATACTCCCTCCGTCCGGGTTTATTGAGCCTGTAAGCAACCGAGGCCTGATCGTTTTTATTAGGCCGTCGAATTTATTCACAGTGTTCGGTTGCCGTTCTTTTCACAGAAAATCGAGGGAGTCAACCCAGCCGTTGCATGCAGCGATAGTATTGGATGGGATCGTGGGTGAGTTAATAGACTGCATGCGCTCCCGCTCTTCCGATTGGCCAGGAAAGCAACTGTGTGCGCGTGGTAATTGCGAAATTACTGCTGGGGCATTAAGATACGTGACTTCCGAAACGTCCGGTACAGCTAATGCCGAGATTTTTGCTCTAACCGAAGCTAATTACTCGTTTTCTTGGTCCTGCCGATTGTGTCGACGGGCCCAATAAACCCGGACGGAGGGAGTACCTGCGTTGTCCGTTATCTCTGCAGTTGACTTTCTACTCCAAACCCTTCTCCCATGTTTTGCTAGACGTACAGAAGTTTACAGGCTAATCCCCGATTTAGCATGTTTTAATTGGATGAAGGGGGAGTGAGCGGCACCATAAGGTGAAAATCCGGTAATGCTAGACGCACGAACGGGCCTATTACGGGATTTACAGAGTAGCAGACGTGGGCGATCGGGATTGGGGAAGAGGGAGCATGGGCGCACTCACGTCGTCGGTGTCAATTTCGACCGGTCGACCAGCGCCTATCGCTGGTCTAATTTTATTAATGATATAGTAGTAAAATAAATACAGTAAATCTCGGAGTAGGCAGGACCGCAGGAGAGGGTGTTGTGCGGCTTGTCACTTGTCAGTTGTTGGCTCGACCCGGACGCGCACTCCCGTCGTCGGTGTCTCTGCAGTTGACTTCCTATCCCATCTCCTACTCTCTCCCTCTCTCTCTCCCTCGACGGATGGTGGTTTGACTTTCATCTCTTGTGCCGCTCTCCTTGCTCCACGGCCAGCCGCACCGCTGCCCGCGAGCCATCCCTACTGGATTCGAGCGGTGAGCGGAGCGGAGATCTTCCTGTCGGTAAGCCCTACCCCGCTCCTACCCTCATTCGTCTTCTTCCTCTGCGCCCTGAATCCTCCCCCTCCCCCGAGCAATCCGATGCGAAACCCCACCCGCCTGAATCTCCGATGACGAAATCTTTTTGTTCTTGAGAGCCGCGCTGCTCTAGGATCGGCTAGCTAGATGCACGCGCTCCTCCTCTGCTCTCGCAACGGCCAGGCGACTTTTGATGTTCCTATCGCTTAATTATGGTTTGCGTGCACCGTGCCCGTGTTTCTGCTGCTTTGGTTGTGGTGCCTGTATTCTTTCCTGGTAATAAATATATAACCCCCTTCTCGTGCAATTGTTTCATCATTTTTTCCTGCACAATTATTTGCTTGTGGATTGGGTGAATTTCCAGTCTCTTTCCTTTGTTTGCATTGCACTCAAGGCTCCGTAGACTACTGCGCTATGTAATGAATGTGACTGCTAATTTTTCCTCCTACCCGCCGGCTCGCAATTGTTCGCACATGGATTTGGCGAATTTCAGTCTCTCTAGAGCCTCATGGAATTTCAGGTAGGAATTTAGGATTACATTGGCCGGCCTCATGGAATTTATTGTTCATCCCATATATCTCAGCATCTTTGTTTGATCTTAGGATCATAATTGGTCATCATCTTTTTCTCCTGGAAGAACCATCAAGCACATATATCCTACTCCCTCCGTTCCGATTTACTTGTCGTGGTTTTAGTTCAATTTGAACTAAAACCACGACGAGTAAATCGGAACAGAGGGAGTATTAGTTAGTACAAAGTTAAGACACTTATTTTTGGACAGAGGGAGTATGTACGAATTCTTGTCTAAATAAAAACTGGGC